AGCTCTTAGTGTCCTCACTGATGCGCGTGCATGCTGCTGCAGAATCCACCTAAAACTTGCTTGGGCGATGGCGTACTACGATTTCATTATCTTCTGTCTCGTGCCGAGATTCGCAACGGCGTCGCCCTGCCGCGGTGGTCTAGTGGCTAGGGTACTCGGCTGCTGACCCGCAGGTCGCGGGTTCAAATCCCGGCTGCGGTGGCTGCATTTCCGATGGAGGCGGAAATGTTGTAGGCCCGTGTGCTCAGATTTGGGTGCACGTTAAAGAACCCCAGGTGGTCAAAATTTCCGGAGCCCTCCACTACGGCGTCTCTCATAATCATATGGTGGTTTTGGGACATTAAACCCCACAAATCAATCAATTCGCAACGGCGTCTAAGACGTATAGAGCCGCTAAAGTTAGTGATAGTGATGTTCTGGCTATGCTATCTTGTGTCTGGCCCTCTTGAGCGTCGCCATTGTGGTTATGTTGCGCTGAATCCTTCGGCTTGGGCTGTTTGCGCTTGCATTATGAATGCCTTTTCGATGTGTCCCCGTTCTTGGCAAAAATTTTGCGTAGTTGTCTTGAATCGACATACCTGGGGATTGTGAATGTAGTCGAATCGCCAACAGCGCTGCGATTTCTTTTCCTTTGAGTTGTCTGTGATAGCAGAATGGCCTGGCTTCTGACTGGGGTAGTGCACTGGCTCAACGTTTTGTTGTATATCCCATTGCTGACGACAGGCGCTCTCCGCTCTCTGGGCGATGTCGTACAATTTGGAGAATGTGAGACCCGTCTCTGCGAACAGGCGTTTGTTGTAGGCCTTCGTCACGCAGTCCACACACAAAACAATCCCGCAACGTAACGTCCAAGGAGAGCATAGAGGCGTTAGCAGGCGTGGTAGACAACACTCCCTCCTTCGCAGTGGCTGAAGTTGCTGAGGTCGGCATCTTGAAATTGCAGTAAGGAGCGAGAATTTTTTTCAAGAGCCGTCACGCAATCGCTCACTTTCCCACCTTCCAGTTGGTCTTGCCGTTGGAAGCGGTCTCGGCTGTAGACCGCCGATGGCCTTGGATCATAGTGCTTTTGTAGCGCAGCTACGATGTCGTAATAGCCGACAGTTGCTGGAGTGCGGGGCTGAATCAGGGCGTGGGCTGTGTCATATGTATGCTCCCCACACAGCGTTAGCAGGTTCGCTCCCTTCATTGCTGCATCAGTGATGTTAGCCTCGAAGTCGAATTGCAGGCGTCCAAACCACGATGACCACGATGAGCCGGGTAGCAGATTCTGGAGCCCGTGAGTAGCTATGACTTGCTTGTCAAAATCAATGCGTAGTGCAGGTCCAAACTGACTTCCTCGTCGCCACTGTTATGTCCGGGGTTGTCGTCGTCCCACACACGTACTCCTGGAACGGTAGTGAAAAGGCATAGTAAAATCGAACGGTTAAAACTTTATTCCTATTCAGGCGGGGGTAGCAGCCGAACTGCCGTGGGTAAGCGAGCAGCCGATCGTTGTGTCGAGCAGGGGAGAATGAGCAGCCCTAATGACCGGAGTCGTTCGCAACTGGTCTTCCACCACTTCACCCTTCATTGTGAGCCGAGGCTCATTAGCTCGGAACCCAGGGATGGTTTGGGACACAACTATGGTCCAAAATGTTGGTAGTCTGCTTTTGTAACACAATAATAATGCATGTGCGCTAGCCAGCAGCTTTTTTTCTTGTCACCCCGTCTTGTCACAGCAGCTTTCTTGTCGGCACAAATTTTGATGCGTATACTCCTGTACGTGCTTCGCTGACACCACTCAGTTCGCATTGAAACAACACAGCGCGAAAACCACTTCACTTTCTGGAGCCTCTGTAATCCTTTACACCAACGTTTTGTAAAATTACAAGGTATGTAATACAAAATAGTTAGCTGGTGGCATATATAATACGCATTATATTTTCTATTTGTTGCTGCTGCATTGATTGAGTTACCGTTGCACCTGAAGTTTCTTTAACCTCCTCATGTCGTGACATGAAAGATGGCCGTCGCCTTCGAGTCAGCTTAAGCAGCTTTTAAGGTTACTGTCTTCTTGTTCCAGTGCCACCACGGCACGAGACCTGACGTACGCAATGGTAGGGGAGACCCTGCTGTCCACCCTGCGTATCCCGCACAAGGTCAGCGAGCTCCTGGTAGAAGTGCTGAGGGCGTTCAACGTGCCCTTCAAGTTCCACTTCTCACGGCTGTATGACGTGGATCGGGACGTGACCAGGATATTCGAGTCGTCAACTAAGGAACACCGGTGAACATCATATCTAACTAAACGAATAGTGACGAACAAGTCAAATGGTGTTTTCTAAGCGAAAACCTATATGCCTCATCGAATCAATACGACTGATGAGTCAACACGTCTGATGAGAAAAAAAAACGATGAGGTCATCGTAGGACATGAATTCACTGATTGTTGATTTGTGACGTTACATGATGTGATCAGTGATCACATGACATTTTCATTTGGTCCAAGGTTGGCCGATGCTGAACGCAGTGCAAAAGCAGGTGAGGTGGAGGAAGCCCGCCGTGCCTGTAATCCTTGAGGCAGTTCAAACTTACGTCAAGTGCTGAAGGCTTGCGGAAAGGAGTGGATTAATATATCGATTGAGATGCAAAAGATAGCTTTTGCCTTCGAGTGGTCTTAGGTGAATGCTTAGGAAACCAGACAGATTTTTTTAACAGTATACATGGTTGATCGTTGTATTGGTCTTAAAGCTGTGTATGTAGACTGCAGTGATTGGAAGACCAAACAAGGCAGGAACGCCACACTGCGTGTGTGCACAGATAAAATATTTCACGTTGAATTCCAAGAATTAAAGCACAATACAAGTAAAAAGTGCGGGAAAACAGACGTTACTTGTGCCACATATAGCAATGATAGCTTTACAATGCAATTTAACATAAGCTATACTGTGCAGCATGCGACTTAATTAGGAATTACTAAAAGAAAAAGCCACACCGGTTGCAAAACACACGCACTCTTGATGGTTCACTAGGCATAATGTTCTCACGGTATGTATGTCATAGTCATACTTCAACAGAGAGATGCTGCTCGCGTAGTTGGCACTTCCTCAAAGACTTAGAAGCACCAAGGGCCGAATCAGTGAAGAACGTTAAGCACGCCATGCTTTGACGAAACTTTTTTGCGTGTGGCTGTAGTTTTGAGTCCTTAAGACGTTGACTAGTAGGTAATGTCAAGTCACTTGTAGGATGCAATAACAATGATTATGAACCTTTTTTTTTGTCAAAACGTGTGATAATGCTGGAATAGAGAAAAAAGGCTATTCCGTGAAGCCGTCTGCAAAAGTAACTTTCCCTGCAGGCTTCCTGAACCATAGAACAATCATCTTGCTCCGCTTAAAAACACATTTGTACTTGTAATACCCAAAAGGTAACCGACGAACTGAACGTTAGGAAACGTTAGTGCACCTGTGGTGTTGAATTCGCTCGATTAAACATACGCACACACAAATATATATTAAGCCAGAAACGTTTGCCAGCAGAAACTCCCACAGCTTGCCACTATTCTTCAGCATGCAGTCCTCTCATTTCAAGTTTCTCCCCTGTGAATGAGACACACTGTCATTAACAATCGCCCCCAGCAATAGACTCTCTTCAAAAATGTAAAGCCAGGTTCCTGCTATGGCCCTGCCCAATGGTCTAGTGGATAAGGAAGTCGGCTGCTGACCCGCAGTTCACAGGATCGAATCCCGGCTGCGGCGGCTGCATTTTTGATGGAGTCGAAAATGTATTAGGCCCATGCACTCTGATTTGGGCGCACGTTAATGAACCCAGGGTGGTCGAAATTTTCGGAGCCCTCCACTATGTGGCGTTTCTCATAATCATATGGTGGTTTTGAGACGTTAAACCACACATATCGATCATCATCTTTCCTGCTATGCACTATGGGAACTAATGGCGGCTAGTCACTCACTGCAAACAGCATGTTCAAGCACGGATTGCTTACACTATGACGTGGAAAATGTAGAGGTGGCTCTTTTGATAGAAACACCCATAGTAGAGAAGCCCCGGCGCCTGCAACTAGGACCGAGTCTCCGCTTGAAGAATGATAGGTGCCACAATTACATGAGCGAATATGCAGCTCAGAGAACCACACTTGAGAATTATGGAAGGGGTCTATTTCTCTCAGCGGCCCTGGCGTTTCGACTACTATCAATCACAACACAACCTAATAATACAACCTCCACCTCCAGAGCTGGAGCGCGACCGTCATTCATCTGTGAAACATTCGTATGAGCTGGCTGCGGTTCTAACCACCTTTCGCTGCAAAGCATCTACTACGTGTACAAAGTTTAGGATTCGCGTCGCTACTGAAAATATTATTGGTTTCATTGAGAATCGATGTCGGAATCTTTTCAGAAATTTGACAGGAAATTAGTGTGCGACTGAAATCCAGCGACTCGGGTGTCTATACACCTTCCTGAATTACGCAAGTGGAGTTTGACAGCATAACGGGCAAATGCGACTAGTCAGAGATGTATACGAATTGACTCTGTGGGGCAGGGACGACTTATGGCCGGAGCTTACGTTGACTCTTCGGTCTTTACCGATTATAATTAATATAATCACCCGCTTAATACTACTGTGAGGACGCTTGCTTCTTTTGCGATGCAAATTGGAATGGTCGATTGTGATTGGATCAATGCCAATGCCAATCAGCATTGCCAATCGGCGTCAATGTGAATTGGATCTTGGTGGGACGGTGGCACCTGTGGGCCGAATTTACTGTTCTCAACTCGTAATGACTGTAATTTCTTCAGTCTCGTGACAGTCCTTAGCTTGGCATGCAAATTTGAAATTTCAATGGCTGTTTTTTTTTCTCCTCCGTGCGCAGTGCGACCACGGACCAGAAGTCGAACTTATCTTTCGTTCACGTGCCTCTGACGGCGAGGATTAATTTCCTTCGTTCAAACTCCGGCGACACTTCCGTCACTGGCTTGGCCGGCGTGCGAGGTGACCCCGCCGCCATTGCTTCCATCAAAAGAATTCGCTCGGAACCTCTGTCTACGGCGGGCCTTTACGCTCTGAGCGTGTTGCTGGCCCAGGTGAGAAATGAATTTATCGGTTGCGTAAACCAGTTAAACCTGACCTTCAAATTATCGGTCATTGTCAAAATGGTTATTACGCCATGAAAAAAAAGCAACAGCGCATAAACAGACGCTGACAAATGGAAGTCCTATGGTCTTTTAAGCATTCATCTTTCGTTGCTATAGCAATTACACGAGTACACTCGGCTGGTTTTCGCAGTCACCATCACCCTCATTTCCCGTATATGTGCATGCATGTATATGCGTGAGGACAAAAATCAAAATAAATAAGAGGGAAAAAAGTTTCGAAGGGCGTCACCTCGATAGATAACTTGCCGGAATACCGTAATACTCATGCACTTAAATTTAAAGCAACGTTTCATGATTTCTGCACTGTGGCGTACCTTAAAATTATATCGTAGTTTTCCCACATGAAAACATAAAAATCACTCTTATATACCGCCTCAAAATGCCGATTACGGCGCTCGTAATATACCAAATGTCATCTTTTAAATTCCATTTGCTGGATATGGTGCAGTTAAAGCGGCGTAAGTTTTATTTAACTGTCTCACAAAAATAAAAAAAATCTGATATTAGCTAAACGGCACAAAACATTAGTCATTCATCCATACGGAAAACGATGGCAAACGAAGTTTGGCGTGTGTACCTTGGATTCACTTTCTTTCTCTTTCTTGCATTTGTCCCTTCCTCTTCTCTTCTTTTTTCTTTCTCCTCTTTCTTTCTTCCATTCTTTCTCTTTGCTTTCTTTCTTTCTTCTTTCCTCTCTTCTCCTTTCTTTTCTCTGCTTTCTCTGTTCTGTTTTTCCTTCTCTTTATTTTATTCCTGTCTTCTCTTCCTTGTCATCATTTTTTTTTTCTCCTTCTGTCTTTAGCATCATACAGGGTTCCTTCTTGTTTCCTTTCGCCATGTCCGGAAGTGGACATGGAAGCTAGCGGATGTACATCAACGGGCTTAGCTGCAGGCAACAGCAAAGGTCATCCGTGAAAGAATAGGACAACAGTGAATGTTAACAGTAGCCTCGACAAAAGCTCACACTGTCGTACCAGAAACGCATCGTCGCGAACAAGCCTACACTCGAGAGAACGTCACTTATTGTAAAAAAATTGGCAGCATATCCACGGAGTGAATGATGGAGAGTGGGGCGAAGCATTCGTCCGTCCATTCGTTCTGGCTTCCGTCGATCCATGCATCCGTCTGTGTGACCGTCCATCCGCCCGCCCGTCCGTGCGTGCGTCTGATCGTGCGTCCGTCCCTGCCTTCGTCCATGCATCCGCCCCGGCGTCCGTTCATGCGTCCATTCATGCATCTGTCTGTGTGTCCATTCGTCCATCTATTCAGCACTCCAAATACCACCATCTCGCATCTCTTCATCACATATTCCCCATATAGAAAAAAAAAGCACCGCCATCCAGCGGACATTCCAAGGACTAAACGAGAGGTGGCACACGCACTTTTTTACGGCTTGCGCTTCGGGTCTACTTCCCACCTTTAACCACCTCGACTTCATGGTATATACTAGTTCACTGTATTCATGGCACTGCGGCCAAACGCTCGCTAAACCTTTCGAAAACCAAGGAGGTTACGCCCAGCGAGTATGACGTAGCGAACTTTTTCAGTCAGATAGTGCTCAATGTACATGCCGATGGCTGCTAATGGGAAATGAGAGGCGGAAAATTCGGCTTTTACTTTCTTACGGCTTGCGCTTCGTATCTACTTCCCATTTTTAACCACCTCGAGTTCATTCATGGTATATACAAGTTCACTGTATTCATGGCACGGCGGCCCAACGCTCGCCATACCTTTCTAAAACCAAGGAGGTTACACACAGCGAGTATAACGTAGCAACCCTTTCTTGTCAGATAGTGCTCATTGTACATACCAATGGCTGCTAATGGCAATGGCAGCGTGCGCGTTAACTAAAAGCCAAATGCTCCTGTCTCTCATTCCCCATTAGCAGCCATGGGCATGTACATTGAGCACTATTTTTTATTGTTCAACAACGCACAGAAGAAATCTCCCACCGGCACCACCTTGGAGGTCAAAATTTTATACTTGTTACACACCGCGACGGGTACGAGGGACGAACAGGTGCCGCTAAAAAGAGCTTCGCCCCTAAAAGCGCAGCTTGCGCTAATGGCTCTAGGCTGCAAGCAACGGTGGAGCAGGCGTTTGACCTATAGTGATACCAAGCTTTTGGTGAAGATGCTAAGCTTTTCCCACTACGAAGTGTGGTTAGGCTTTGCTATCCTTTTCCGGTTCCGGTCGGTTCCCGACACTATACGCCCCTGTCACGCGGTTTTGGAAGAAAAATGTTGCCTGGTTTTCAATCATGTGACTAGTTACGTGATACTGCATGATTTTTATATTCAATTCCAATGGCAGATCACGAGCGCTGGGCTGGATCGCGAATGGAGTGCGCATATCTGACCAGATTTGCTCTTGCCAAATCTGCGATTGGAGCGCGCGCGTCTCGACGGGAGCTCTTTTTGAGCGGAAATTCAGCGAGGGAGCACGAGAGGCTGCGAGGGAGTGTAAAGCGTTTTCCGGTCATCCATCGGTGATTTGATGAAAGGCGGGCGCATAGAATACGTCACTTGAACTTCCGATCAAATCCGCCGATTTCGGCGGAGCAAGAGTTCTTGCTCCATGGAGCGATCCTTGAACTGCGGTTGCTCTGAATCTGCCATTGGAACACACAATTCGCGCTCCCATTCCGCCATTGGATTGTGATTGCTCTGCTCTGAGCAGAAAAACTTAATCTGGATCTGCCATTAGAATTCAACATTAGTCGCGTAACGGGCTCGATCATAGTAATCGCTTTCTGCGGCCGGACAAAGGTGCGCGTGCGGTGGGAGCGTAGCAGAAGATGAAAAGGAAGTAAAAAAAGCGCGAAAATATAGACAAGGACAGATGAAGAGACTCTGTCCTTGTCTATATTTTGCGCTGTTTTCACATCCCAAGCATGAACCATCAACTTGCCCAACTTTCTCTATTATTTCAATTTATTTTTATTGCATCGGGCTCTTCTCTTTATCCCGACGTTCTTCACGATGACCCGGCCTCCTTGGCTTCTACCATAGCCGTGTGTGTCTAAAAAACTTCCTCTGTCCTTGTCTATATTTTTGTGCTGTTTTTACTTCCCAAGCATGAACCATCAACTTGCCCAACTTGCCCTATTATTTCAATTTATTTTAGTACATCGGGCTCTTTCTTATCTTTATCCCAACGTTTTTCACGATTACCTGGCCTCCTTGGCTTCTACCATAGCCGTGTGTGTCTAAAAAACTTCCTCTGTCCTTGTCTATATTTTTGCACTGTTCTTACTTCCCAAGTATGATCCACCGACTAGCCCAACTTTCGCTATAGCAATTTATTTTTAGTGCATCGGGCTCTTCTCTCTATCCCAACGTTCTTTACGATGACCCGGCCTCCTTTGCTTCTACCATAGCCGTGTGCGTCTAAAAAACTTCCTCTGTCCTTGTCTATATTTGGGCACTGTTTTTACTTCCCGAGTACCACCAGCTAGCCCAACTTTCGCTAATATTGCAATTTATTTCTTGTGCATCGGTCTCTTCCCTCTATTCCAACGTTCTTCACGATGACCCGGCTTCCTTGCTTTCTACCATAGCCGTGTGTGTGTGTAAAAAACTTCATCTGTCCTTGTCTGTATTTTTGCGCTGTTTTTACATTCCAAGCATGAACCACCAACTAGCCCAACTTTCGCTACTATTGAAGAGGAGGACGAAGCAAGTGCTTACCGGTTTATTTTTGTTCTCACTGCCTGAAGCAACGAAAAGCTTTAACACTTTTGCTGTTAATATATATATATATATATATATATATATATATATATATATATATATATATATATATATATATATATATATATATATATTAGGCTCATAACAGCCTAGTTCTCTTCTAATCCAGAGCTAATTCTGCATGTGGTTAATCTAGGTTCATGCAGCGCTAATGTGGTTCTTCAGTAACTTTCGATGTTCTGAATTCCGCGCTAAATACTTCGCTAATGTGGGTCCTGTGTAGGTCCTAGTGTAGCTCTAAATCCTGAACTTCATGGAACTCCAGTGCCGTAAAGCCTTCGGAAGTGCGTGTGTATAGAATGGGTAAATTAGCTATTCGCTTGGGAATCACCCGCTTGCCGGGGTGGTGGAGCTCTTTGAGTGGCGCGGGTACTATAGCCACAAGCTTTAGGACTGTGTTTAGGAATTTGCGGCAAGTTATTACAAATAGTTTTTCGTTATTTTGGTAGTTTATGATATTTTGAACCTTGCTAACTTAGTTTGCGTTGGTTTCGAGTATGGTTAGTTTTAGTTCAGTTTTAGGCCTGTATTCGCCATGTGCGTGACCACAAGACAGTGGCCGAAAGAGCGCGCCACTAAAGTGCTACGCACACAAAACGCTTCCACCCAGGTAATGAAATACAGCCTACTACTCCGGGAGCTGTACGTTCCGAAACCGTCCGACAACGTTCGCTGGTGCCTGCAACAGACGGCCGAGCACTTCGGCGAGCTCTTCACCGAATGGGTGGCACGCAAGTTCCAGAAGCCAAGTGCACTGGCCACCGTGCGCGGACTGTTCGCCGACATCCGAATGCTCCTCATGCGAGACAACCGCGTCAACCGGGGCGTCCTCGTTGACACTGGCCGTCTGAAGAGGACTCAGCTCTTGTTCTATGGTATATTACTAGATTGTATCGTACCGAAAGTCCGGTCAATGTGTTTGATCTGGGTCAGTGTGTTTCGCAAGTCCGGTCAGGGTGCCACTGATTGGTGCGTTTGATTTGTAGTGTTATTTCACGAGTCATAATTAGTCTGGTCACGCATTGCAGTCGAAAAAATTGGCCAGTACGGCTAATTCTTACGGCAAAATATTGTAACGAACCAATACAGTGCCGGAAGCTAAAACAGCTATTTAATAATGGCGAACTTGTGCCCGTCAACTAGATACACAAAGGTTGTGAGCTCACTCGTCAAAACCTCGTCAACTTCTCTAGCGTCTCGTCTCGAGCTGCCTTGTTTTGAAGGCACTCAAAAGCCGTTGGAAGTGAATGGCGTATGTGTTACGTCATGATGATAGGCAGTATGATACATGGCTGTTAATATAAGCATGATAAAAATACGAAGAAAGCGATTTGAAATCCCTGATGTTGCGTGCGGAGGTTTCGATGCGACATTTACCCTCTAACGCTCACAAGCAGTTATGCCTTAAGAAAAGTTGACATAATAGTCACAATATTTAGCCTTTGTGTGTAGTATTTTAAGAAAAAAGAGTGTTATTTTGTTTGTCGTTTAAGTTGTTCGGTCTTATTCAAAAATTATTAATTCATTTGAATAAACTTTTAACTACGTGTACCCTAACTATGATATTAAAATTGTGCATTAACGCATTTTCTATAAACCTTTGGCAGGTTCAATTTAAATTTAACGCATTATATTTAGAGTATTAAGCATGATACAGATTACATTACTGATAAAAATGAAACATTGACCTTGATTTTCTTTTATTAATAAACCTGTGGCGCTAAGCTAACAATAGTTCTCAAAGCATTCTTGGTTTGTCAAATTTTATTCTGTCTCACTTTCACTTCCCTTCAAAAAATGGACTTCGTGGTTACTCAGGCACCTATTCGACTTTTGTCTTTTTCGGTTTCATTGATAGCGAGATGGTTTTATCTTATCGTGCTTTCCCGCTTTCTGCCTCATTCTGTTTCGACAGAAATAAAAATTTTATTTGCGAGTCAGTGCCCGTGTTTGCCGTTCATTGCACGTGCCTTTTCATTCAAAACGAATCAATCACTTCATTCTTTCGGGCACAAATCTACGACTTTGTCTTCACAGGGCAGGACAGCCTCAAAGCGATAGTCCCGCCAGCTCCGCAGTTTTCTGCCAGCATGCGCGACAGCTTCCTCGCCAACCTGGCCGTCGCTTTGCGTAGTCGGGCGGGCCGAGGTCCCAGCGACGATCGCTCAGCCGAGTTCGTTCTGTCCGGTTTCGTCGGCTACCACGGCGACTCGTTCGTCGTGGCGCCCGCCTATCTGTCCGGACACGGCGTGCTGGCGCTTCGCGTGGACGAAGTCGACGTCTTCTACCCGACCCTGGCGGCGCTGATGCTGCGAGCCATCTACGAGGACGCCGCTTTCTACTCCCCACCCTCAATGGCCAACTACACGGACGGCTGCTTCAGCGAGTCCGTCTCCTTCGCGCTGGGGAGATACGTGGCGCCTCATGCGGTGCGTTGTAGCGAAACAAAAGAGACTAGTAAAGTAGGACCTGTTGTCATGTCGGCGGAATGGGGATTAGCGATTTTTCGAGTGTGTGCGCATCATTTATTGCTTTCTTTCTTTCTTTCTATTTCTCTTTATTCTTTATTTATTTATTTCTGTGTTTTTCTTTCTTTCTTTCTTTCTTTCTTTCGTTCTGTGGTTGTATTTCTCTTTCCGTCTTTTTTCCTTTTTTCTGTTTCTATTTCACTTTCTTTCTGTGTTTCTATTTCTTTCGCGTTTTGTGGTATTTTTTCTCTCGTTATTTTTCTCTATCATTATTTCTATCTCATTGCGCAATGCTACTTCCTAACGTTTTTTATCCTCCGTGCACGTAACTTGACCTTTACTCTCGTACGAGTTCGAAACGAACACAAGCAGAGCTTGTATTTCTTATGTGTGCCCCTACTGACCTAGCATACGGGAATGTACTCTTGAATTCGCATATAGTCTAGACGGTAGGGGTATTTCCGAAAGGCTTGTGGTATATGAGCCTGGCCAAAGCACCCGGAGGGGTATTACCACCGCCCGCAACGCAATGCTTCCGTATTCGCAGGAGACGATGGCGGTCAGGCGGTAACAAAGCTAAATACATCAGTGAAAGCTAATGGAGAATGACATCTGAGTTGTATGAAAGGATGAACGGCCTCCAAAGCAGGTCAGATTTCCGTTCCGTAACAGAAACGACTGATCGCTGATAAATCTATGATCTAGAGAGCACATGAATATTTAATAAAATGGCTCATACAAGTGCGCACGTGAACGTCATGCCTTCGAGCTGTATTTGGCAAGACCCACATGTCTTGGCGTAACATGGGAGAGGCCTTTGTCCTGCAGTGGACGTAGTCAGGCTGATGATAATGATGATGATGATGACATGTCTTTTGCGCTTTGAAGCACCAGTTTTTCGCTAATCGTATCACCGCCACCACCAAAACTTGCTTGTAGAAGCTGCGATTCAAAAGTAAACTTCAGCGCAAGGTCGAGTCAGTAATTGCGACCGTAACGAATCGGGATGTAGTACGAAGTAGGACTAGTGGTTATCACTTGGTACTTGACCTAACTTAACTCTGCAAGATGCTGCCGTTAAGGAGTGTGGCCAGTCTAGTAAGCGAAGTCGTCTTCCTGCTGACTAACGCTTCAACGCGAATAAGATTAAGTGGGAGAAGCACCATACGTATACTAAAATTATGCGCCGTTGACTGAACCTATTTGACAGAAGTCCATAAAATAATAATAACGAATGATCGGTTATAGCAAAGCGACTTAACAAACCACTTTATAATTTTGTGAGAAATGTATGTTTAACAAATACTCGAATATGATGAAGCTATTTGTGTGTGTGTGTGTGTGTGTGTGTGTGTGTGTGTGTGTGTGTGTGTGTGTGTGTGTGTGTGTGTGTGTGTGTGTGTGTGTGTGTGTGTGTGTGTGTGTGTGTCGGGAGTAATTTTCCTTTCTGTAGCCTAAGAAATACGTCTTAGATAACCGAGCGTCAGCTCACCTTATTATAACCGAGTGTGGAAGTAATTGTGTTCGATTCGGCCGAAGTGAAAATGAGTGGACGTGTGTCGTGTCTGGGCCTAGTTGAGGCAATTTCTACTATAAAATCGCCTGCGAGTGTGAGTTGTTAATCTTCCACAATTGGGCGGCCCAAAGCGAATGCACGCGCCTATCAGGGGATATGGTTGGACGGTGCTCAGTGTTCCTTTGCTAATGCTTTGTCCACGCGCTTCGCCGTTTGCGTTTCATTGGACCTGAATAGTGCGGACGGAATCATACTTGTCTAGTGTGCCCAGCCGGCCGCTGAAGCTGCCGTTTCATTCAGAAATGTGTGATGACGGGTGCTGTGATACCATACATGGGCATATATTGTAGGTCATTGTGCTAATAATCAAGCATGAACGGAAGCTTTCAGCTTGCGTGAAGTACAAGCTGCGGCCAATATCAGCATCGACAGCCATGCGTTTCACAAGCGGGCATGTTTCCGTACATGTTTTCGTGCCCGCCCTGCGGGAAATAGGCGGCATGGAAATGTCAGACCTCAAAAATAAGCTAGTCTTTTTTTTCACAGATGAAATTATAATATATACTATTGGGGTTTAACAACACAAAACCACCTCACGTCGTAGTGAAGGGCTCCGGAAATTTCGACCAGCTGGGGTTCTTGTGTCGACTACCCAGTAGAATGAATATCCATATCATTGGTTGCTTTCCAACGCAGGTGATGCCATTCATGGGAAACCGCTGGGCAATTTTCTTCGCCTCCTTCCTCTCGAGGCGGAGGGCGGCCGACGTGCACCGTCGGCTGGGTGACAACGGCCGGGCTCATCTCTACTTTCGCCTCGTCTGTTTTTTCTCCTGCGGGGACCCGGCGATGCGGGACACCTGCAACGACGTCGCTTATTCGAGCAACGATCTGTCGCGCTCCATCGGCTGTCACCGAGAGCGGAGCGTCAAGTGCGACTGCGACCGCCTGGACAATTGCGAAACTCATATGCCACGCGCGTAGGCGAAACGCAAAGCGCGGTGCGGTTGCGTCGGGCGTGGTGGGCCCAAGTGGAGGTGTTGCCTTAGTAGTCGACGCGCCAGTCACTATAGATTCGCGCGAAATTTGCAGAAACGAAGCGCTTATTTAGGAATGGTTCTACAAACGCCCCGTGGTGTATCGAACTAGCCAGTCAATCAATAAAATATAGTTTCAGCGTAATTGGGGAGTTACGTATAGGGAGAGGTATACAGAAAAAGGTCCCTTAGTGTAAACGCTGCAATGGGACCTCTCGTTATAAAATACACAAAGCAAAAATAAAAATAGGAGCAGGATCGCGTAAAAGAAGCGTGAATATGCGTACAAAATAATAAAAGAGGCATGATGGTATCCAATAACGTAGAGTATATTTGACATTGAAGTGAACAAAAAGGGAATTAAAAAGTGAAGCTAATACAGTGCAAACGAAGCAATCGCTAGGAATAAACACAAACAAATATTTTAGAAGAAAAATAAAATATTAGAAATGGATGAACACATGAAAATGTATGACAAAAAAAGGCAACGACAGTAACTACTCTTAGGTGAGAAGTTTAAAGAAGGATTCAGATAAAGGCGAACGGAATGTTTAAAGGCTTTTAATGAGGGAGAGGTTTTCGTCTCTAAAGGCAGAGTGTTCCGTAACTTGATGGCGGAGAAGCTCACTGTAACGCAATAGTAGTGTGAAGGCTGTGGAATCAGCGGGGCTGGTGGCCTTGTCCTTCTTTTCCTTCTCCTCCTGCTCACCCTCAGTATCCTTTCGCATGCCCCACTCATATTTATGAACTCTGAACTCTCAGTCGCCGCCCAACGAGGCTGTTTCGCAGCGGAAACTTCGACGTGGCAATGCGGATTAGCCCACTGTCGATGCATTTGACCACGGACGGCATTACGACTATCTTGAGGGCCAGCACACTGTGGTAGTTGCGTATTTTAGGTCACCCAGTGCTGGCTTTATTGAGCTTAGGTTAGCTTTGATTCATGGCCACGATTAGCCATCACAGAGAGTTGAACGACGGCAAGTGCGAAACTCTCTTAGTGCTTGATGCTTTCAGGTAGTATGTGAGGGATTGTCTCAGCTACCAGATCGTAATAAGATTACCTAGAGGCAAAAAAAAAAGTGTTCTGCACGAGCAGTCATGGATGCTGGCAGCGCTAATTGACGGCGCTAATTGACGGCTCCGCGTTTCGGTGTAATTCTATATCCCACAAAATGGACCGGAGGATAGCCGCCGTAGTAGCTCGGTTGGTAAAGCATCAGATGCGTTTTTCGAAGGTCGAAGATTCGTTTCCTGCCCGTGGCAAGTTGTCTTGTGGTCCGCATTTTAAAGTATGTGAAGCATTTCTTAGCGAACTTCGGCGACTATGAACGTATATATATAATCAGGATTAGACACTTTGTTGTTTTTTACAATAATGAATCGCGTAGACGTTTTAAGGCACCATGCGCACTCTACTAAGGTAGAGCCATTACCTGCCCTGGATAAGCCATGTCATTGGTGGGAGAGGCGTTTAGAAGAAAGTTGTTAACTATTTAGAGTAGTTAGTATTCTAGTATAGGAGAAATTAATGCCGTCCCGGGGTTTTATACCACGAAAAAGCTTTAAACGGTGTTTATAATTGGTTAACAATTTAGACTACCAGGTACCCTACTATGGGAGTGCACAAAGGCGTCGCGGGGGCCTCAGAGTTGATGAGGTTCGGGGGGGGGGGGTAGGAAAAGTGGGTAACAATTCAGAGTACAAGGTACTCTCACTATGGGAGAGCTTAAAGCCGTCCCGTGGAGCGATGGCCACAGCATACGGTTAGGAAAATTGGTTAACGATTCAGAGTACTAGGTACTCTATGAGAACAGTCAACTCAAAACTTAACTGCTGGCCTTACAAAACACGCAGACCCATACAAAATAGGCACGCTGCATCATTAAAACCTTAAAATCATCTCAAGTGCAGGCCACGATTGTGTTAAAATATAATGCTGTACATGTAGAAACTTTAGAAGTCTGTTAGGCAGCGCAATTAATTTCGCACAAAGCATTTACCCTTTATTAAATGCGAAGCATTCCTTAGCGAGCTTCGGCGTATTTGAGCGTATCTATCTATCTATCTATCTATCTATCTATCTATCTATCTATCTATCTATCTATCTATCTATCTAGACATAGATATTTATCTATCTATCTATCTATCTATCTAGACATAGATATTTATCTATCTATCTATCTATCTATCTAGACATAGATATTTATCTATCTATCTATCTATCTAGACATAGATATTTATCTATCTATCTATCTATCTAGACATAGATATTTATTTATCTATCTATCTATCTAGACATAGATATTATTTATCTATCTATCTATCTAGACATAGATATTTATTTATCTATCTATCTATCTAGACATAGATATTTATTTATCTATCTATCTATCTAGACATAGATATTTATTTATCTATCTATCTATCTATCTAGACATAGATATTTATTATCTATCTATCTATCTATCTAGACATAGATATTTATTTATCTATCTATCTATCTATCTAGACATAGATATTCATTTATCTATCTATCTATCTAGACATACATATTTATTTATCTATCTATCTATCTATCTAGACATAGATATTTATTTATCTATCTATCTATCTATCTAGACATAGGTATTTATTTATCTATCTATCTATCTAGACACAGATATTTATTTATCTATCTATCTATCTATCTAGACATAGATATTTATCTATCTATCTATCTATCTATCTATCTAGACATAGATATTTATTTATCTATCTATCTATCTATCTAGACATGGATATTTATTTATCTATCTATCTATCTATCTATCTATCTATCTATCTAGACATGGATATTTATTTATCTATCTATCTATCTATCTAGACATAGATATTTATTTATCTCTATCTAGCCGCCTACGACTTTCAGCTCTCCTGACCGTTTCAATAATGGTATCGATACCAAACTTGGTATGACATCACATGACTGTATGAAGAACATACTTGATTAGTCATAACGTGAAAATCATGACATGAATGTCATGATTTACATTACATGGTCCTGAAGCTCTTGCGGCGGTTTCGTTCACATGACATGCTGCAAAACTGGTATGGTATGGCATGATTGCATGGCGAACACAAGCGACAGATCCTAACATGAGAATCATGACATGCGTGTAATGTAACAACATGACTACATCCACGCTCAAGATGCGCTCGCGGCCGTTTCGCTAGCCTCACATATACCAAATTTGGTAGTACGGGACGTGAATGAATGACGAAGGTATGTGACTGGTATAAACATGATCATGAGATGCGTGTCATGTAACAACATGGCTTCATGCCACGCTCATGATGCACTGGTGGCCTTCTCGCTAGCTTCACATGTACCAAACTCGGTATTACGTGACGCGAACGGAAGACATAGGAAAATGACACATCCAAACATGATAATCACGACATGCGTGCCATGTAACATGACTAAATGCCACACTGACACTGATGATGCACTTGCTGCCATTTCGATAGCTTCACATATGCGAAATTTGGTATTACGTGACGCCAACGGATGACGAAGATATGTGACAGGTGCAAACATGATAATCATAAGGTGCGTGTCATGTGAGAACATTACATGCCACAGTCAAGACGCCAATACATTTCGGCGTGATGCGGTGCACATGCTCGCCGGCGTTCCTTTCATCGCGTCACGCCGGCGTTGCCGCGCCAAGCGCCGGTCCTGCCATATACTCGCAGGCGCGCGCCACGATGCTTTGATGCATGCGCGTTTCAGCGCGTCCGGCATCCATTCGTCACAAAAAAGGAAGCGCATCGGCGCAAAATGCAGCATGTCGCATTTCGCGCCAGTTGCCGTCGGGCCGCACCGACGGACGCTCATCGCGCCTGGCGTCAAACAATAGAGTGCTCGTGTTTTGCTTACGTTGCGTCGCTGTGCCCAGCGCGCGCACGCGTCAGCGCTACGTCGGAGTATAATGGGCCCGTCATGATGCGCTCGCGGCCGTTTTGCTAGCTCCACATATACTAAATTTGGTATCACGTGACGTGAATAGATGAAGGTAACGCCTCCAAACATGATAATCATGACACGGAAGTCATGAACGGCATCATTTACCCCCACCTCGTAACGTTGTGCTGATTTTAAAGTGACATGTCAACATTTCTCCTTCGTGCTTCACATATCATAGAGTCCCACTGTACGTGGGATCTGCCAACTTTTTTGTATTTCAAACGCTTCTTTTCTTCGGTTTGTTTTGATTGTATACATGAAAAGTTCGGCATATCCCACGTACATGGAAATCGACGTTATGCGAAGCATGCAGATGGAAGGTGATCATGTTGCAACTTTTTTAATGCACGCAATGTCATTAAATGACGCTCAATATACGTATAAATGTTACTCGCACATATGTATGTTGAAGAGCTGCAGATACTTATATAACCAGTTCTTTGCACTTGCGCAATGATGGCAACTGGAACATGTTCGAACTACGCATCAATTTCGAACTACGCGTTGCCAACTAACTGAATATAAACTCGCACAAAAGCCGTCTATATTGTATACTGCTCTTTTTCTGACTGTGCACGAATGAAATCACTCGAGATGGTGAAAGTTATCAGCGTCGTGCGGCTATATATACTTGCACAATGCCCGTACACGTGCAGTGCTAAAGTTGCGTCCTAACTCTTCTTCCAGTCATTGAGAAAGACCTGTGAATTTGCAAGAAAAATTGGCAGATCCCACTGACAGTGGGAATTGATGATATGCGAAGCACGAGTCGATATTGATTGATTGATTGATATGTGGGGTTTAACGTCCCAAAACCACCATATGATTATCAGAGACGCCGTCGTGGAGGGCTCTGAAAATTTTGACCACCTGGGGTTCTTTAACGCGCACTCAAATCTGAGCACACGGGCCTACAACATTTCCGCCTCCCACGCAAATGCAGCCACCGCAGCCGGGATTTGAGCCCGCGACCTGCGGGTCAG